GACAATGGACAATTGTGAGTCAAATAAATGCTAAATCTTTGCCTCTCCGGGAAGGCAGCAGGTGGCTTAAATCCTGGTGTGATGTGGCTAAATAATGCATGATCTGAGGACCCTGCACTGGTTACTGCTGGACACGTTCACAATTCTTCTATAAATATATTAGTATACCGAGCAGTCCAGGAGCAACCATTAGGCAGACACCACTCCTTGCTTCCTTCATGTGACCTATCACTGAGCTCACCAGCTGAGGTCAATAGCATTCTTCCCAGCCTAGAGAACAGAATTTGGGTCTCCTCAGAGGCATGATGTGAAACATGTCTGGGATGAAAGATTTATTTTATTGACAGCAAAGCTTTTTGGGTTAAGGGTTAGGGGAAGGGCAAGTGAAAGATGCAGATTAATTTAAATTTGGGAATATACTTTTGTATATTGTTTGAAATTTTGTCTTATAAAAATATTCAAATTTAAGAAAATTACTTGTGAACAGATTGACAAATGTCATGTGCACATATATTCACTAATTTGAAAAAGCATTCACTGTGTTAAATTTTATGGCGAAAGAAAGTTGATTAAACTTTGAGATAACTGGGTGAGTGTGTATGTGTGTGCGTCCTCTGGTTCTATCACTCCAAATACACACTCACAAGTGCAGTTTCACCTTGAATTCAGAGGTGGGCTGGACTCTAATCTCAGTTTTAGATATCCTGGAAAATAGTGGATCCAGAGAGATTGCTACAACCAGGTGAATAATTGAAGAAAACTTTGTCTGATACCTTGGAGTTAACCTCCAGGCTCCATTCCTTTCGCCCCCCTTGCTGAGCCCACTGTTCTGAAACTCTCAAAGCTTCCATCCTGTCTCTGGCCACCAGGTGACATCCAACTCTCATTTGCTTTTTCTGCTTTAATAAAAATGAGTATATTTTGCAAAAAGTAAAAAATATCTTGTAATAGTTCACATGCTATGATGTCAATTCTGTTTGGAATATTCACATGTGTATTAAAACAGCTCAATTTGCTGTTGACCTTAAATCTACATCTCACTGATTTAACTTTTCTCTCCTCAGTGTAGGTTGAGGTGTCCGCACTGTAGAGGGGTCCCTTCCAGACAGCAGAGTGTTCGCACTTCATTACCCAACCCCTGTACAGGCTTCCCAGATCTCCTCCCACTCCCTCTCAGACTTCAGGACACTGTGGACACAGCTGCTCAGATCTGTCAGTGGCACCTGATCCTCTCTCAGACAACTCTTGCCTGTCCTACACTGCCCTTTTCTTGCTGGGGACTGCCTAAGCACCTGGTGTTTCATCATGTGGGTGCCTCAGAGTTTGTTTTTTCTGTCTTACTCGGTTGTTTTTGACAGAATTAAAATCATTCTGTACATAGGTTCTATCACATCTTGCAAGTGGGAAGACACTAACATTCCTTATTTCTGCAGTTAGAACATACATTTCCCACTTACAGCCTATATTCCTGCTGCCTCCCACCTCTCTGCTTATTGATCTGAGGCCACTTACTCATTTTCTCCCTTCTCAACATTCAGTTAGTGCTGTTCTCTCCCCTCTTCATGGCAGCCAGTTTTGCCCCTGCTAAACTAAAGGTCTTGAGGCAGAGTGGAGCCTTGTGTTAGGGGGCCCTGCCACAGTAAGTCATTGTGAGGGTTGATGAGTAATGGTTAGGCTATTCCCAATACCTGGATACTCTACCTTAGGGCTCATCCTCCCCCCCGACCCCTTGCTGGTCTCATAAAATGAGTTGGGGAGGATTCCTTCTTTTTGTATTGTTTGGAATAGTTTCAGAAGGAATGGTATCAGCTCCTCTTTGTATATCTGATAGAATTTTTAATGGAGTTCTTTGGTTTTCTCTTGTAAATTTAAGTTTCTTATAGGTGATGGATGTTAGACCTTTGATGCATAGTTTGCACAATTTTTCTCCCATTTTATAGGTTGTCTTTCATTCTGATGATCATTTCTTTTTTTTTTTTTTTTTTTTTTTTTTTTTT